GGGGGGGGGGGGGGGGTGGGGGGTGGTGGGGGGGGGGGGTTTTTTCGTTATCAAATTTAAATTCGACCGTAAGGAGGGAAGCAATGAATTCGTTTTAAAAAAAACTTCCGGTGATTAATTAATTAGATTAATTCTAGTTAACCTCGATCATCGATCGATTTTATTCTTACGTTGCAACATCGTTTCTTGGAAGCGATATTACATTGAACGTAGGTTTTTTTGACATAGTATACCCAGGAACGAATGTCATTTTTTAATTACTAGAACTCACTGCTTTATTTCAACTATTATTTCCTAATGTTTTATTCGAATAGATGTTTTATTTTGAATACTATTTATTTGCAAGACTATTTCAATATAATGTCTTTGCAGAGATGACTCTTTGATCTTGGTTCTATGTCCATATTTTATCAGTTGTTCGCGCCGACATGAGCTTTACAGGGCATTTGTCGATTGCCAGTTAAGTTCCCTAGTATACAAGCATCGCCTATATGCACGAGAAAATATGTCTCGGGTTAAGCGTCTATACGAGGTCTTAACCCGGGTTAAGTCTTAACCCGGGTTAAGCTTTAACGTGGGTTAGCTTAACCCCGCGCGATGAGGGGGGTTAATTGCTAACCTGGGTTAAGCTTAACCCGAGTTAAGACTCGTGTTGACGCACGCGAAATCGTTAACTCGAGTTAAGCGGTAGTTATCAGTAGACTGCGTGTAGACGACACGTATTTCTTAACTCGGGTTAAGTGTTAGGCTTAGGGTTAGGGTTAGGGTTAGGGTCTAACTCCGTGTAGACGAGGCACTATGTAGACGAGTCTTGATTTTCCCATTGCAGGATCAGGAAACAGCGAGGTAGTGGTGGAATTAACCCGCATCACGAACACTGGGAATTATCCATCAGAAGCGGACCCAGAGTTCAATGTCATATCTGGCACGGTCAGCGTTGTGGTGAGTCAGTGTGTACGGTCATGGTAAAGCCGGCTTGTGCACGTGCAGGGTTACAATTAAATTAACTACGTCACGAATTTTCTATGGTGTATAATTTATTTTTTATTTTTTTTATTTTCAAGTTTTGTTTTCAAGTTTCAAGCATTTTGTTTACATGAAAAGTAAGTAGGCTACTAATGGCACTAAATCTTTCCTCAAATTCTTACCTGATAAGATTGTTTTTCAACTAGTTAAAAATCCAAAAAGTCTGGGCGAGTTGATATGTTTATCACAACATTGAATGCTTGCTATGGGCTATGTAGGGTATGAGTCACGAGTGTTTGTTCACAATCGAACGGAATAGCAAAATAGCAAGTATAATGCATCAATTTAGCCAAGAAAAGTGATCAGAATCACTTACAATTTATGAAAAAGTGGACATACATTTTTTTAACTTTTACTATTACTTATACTTACTTAAAAGTAAGTTAAGGTTGCAGTCAGAGTTAGAGTTAGGGCTATAGTTAACATGATGGTTAGGGTTAGAGTTAAGGTTAGGGTCGGAGTTAGGGTTAGGGCTAGGGTTAATATTATGGTTAGGGGTAGAGTTAAGATTGTCGTCGGAGTTTGTGTTTGGGGTTAGAATTGTTCAGTGACGTACTCTCACTCGTGTACGCAAGCAGAATGACTATATGCGCTCTATACATCGCGGTGGTTTAATTTGCGCGAATTTCGCGAACCCGTCCCCGACCGCGAAAATAAGAATACGCGGATAATTTATACCGAATAATACCTACAGCATAATTCATAATTCACCAACCGCGAAATTAACCACGCGAAATTAACCACTCGTGAAATTGTTCGTCAAGACTGAATTCGCGAAAATATCTGTACGCGAAAAATACGTGTGGTTTGGTTGCAGGCCATAGATGGTCTCTCGCAGTCCACGTCGGTACTGATTGAGGTTTACTACGATTACAACACCGCCTATGGTGGCATGCACTCTGAAACCATCGACATCTTAACCACGGCCATTGTCTACACGCCATCTTCCTCCGTGAGTGACTGCCTATATATTGCAATAAATTAAGCGGTGCACTATTAGTTTATATATATATAT